CTTTAATCTTGATTGTGCCCATTCACGCGTTATACATGCTATTAGAATATATTTTCGTGTTCATGATCATCATATGAAGGTGTTTGAATAGTCTAATTCGAGTTTCAATGCAGGAATGGGATTATGCCATTATTAGGGTTCGAAAGCTTGAAATTGGGGTTCTTATTTTCAAAACAAATTGAGGGGATTCTGGGTATCAATGGACTCAGGATGAAATTCTTGATTGATCTCTTATGTTGTTTGTGATTTATATTTTCTGTATCATGTTCTTGAGTAACGCATTTTATAGCTACAAACCAAATCCGTCACTACAACTTATAGTGACGGAAATCTACTGTAGGTAAAAGTATGTTGCGTAACACAACAGATCAATGAAAGAGACGATGAGGTGGCTAACCCTCACTGGCCGGTTTGAATTCACGCGCGCTTTTCTGGGCGTAGCATTTAATTACCCTTATATTCTAATTGTTTTATTATATGTACAAACAAGCGCTCCAGCGCAGATGGCAAAGGGTGAGGTGTTTGAGAGGGAGGACCTGATTCGATCCCAGGCCTCAACATTTTCTTATTTTCCACTTTGTTTGTTCTAGATCCAATGCATGTTATATTCTGAGGAGCACCACGCATCCTTTGATCTCATCCTTGAGATCCATTACCAGGCAGATCTCACACCCCAGCCTTGAGGGTCCACCATGAGTCTTCAGGAGATGATTCCACAGGATCTGGTGCATGTTTGGGCTCGGTACAGTGGGTCTGGACAAAATTCCAAAACACACCCCCTGGGTGCTTAGACAGACCCAATTTCTTACTCTTTTTTTATTTTAAATTCTTTTTCTTTTATTTATTAATTGTATATTTTTTAATAACACAAAAAAATTATTTTTTTCATTTAATCAAAAATCACCAAAAAACATCAAAAAATCTTTTTTTTCATAAAAAAATATTTTATTAATTAATTAGTTTAATTAAATTAGGTTAATTTAATTTTTTTATTATAATTCAAAATAATTAGATTTAGGGTTTAATTTTATACTGAACCTAATTTTTCCTTAAAAAATAACATAAATATTTTCTCAATTTTGATTTTTAGGTCGTCTAATTATTTCTCGCATCTAATTTTCCGCACGCTTTTAATTTTCCTTTTTTTTATTATTTGTAACTGCTCCGATTTTGTAATAGATTTAAATAAGATTTTAATTTTGTATTTTATTTTCAGTCAAAATAATTATGTATCTGTCCAAAGCCTTGTAATAGTTAGGATTTTAATTTCTCGCACTTTAATTTCCGCAATTATTTAACTGTTAGATGTATGGACAATAGGCTTGCACGCAAAAGATAAATGAAATTAAAATAGTAGATAACCCTAATTATGCAAAGATAATTAACTGAAAAATACACTTGCACATGTTCACTCCTAGGGTTTACTCCACTCGGTTGCCTCGGTAATAATGGTCGTGTCCCTCGAATGTATGGATACCTTAGCAATGACCCACGATTCAAAATCATCATAAAGATCATAGTCCCTATTTGTCCCTCGAGTTTCCTACGAATTGATCTTATGACGATAGTCCCTTCGAAATGCTAAGGTATCTCTACTTGTTGCCTTCAATGACCATAATGTCCCTTTCGAATGTCCCTTAAAACTCCAACGACGGTGATACCTATTCCTTAATAATAGGATAACACTGTCTAAAGGAAAACGAATAGACTTTTTCGAGTAGGTAGATTAGTTCTTAGGTACTTACTCAAACAAAACTTTTCACACAAACACTTTTCAAAACAATTTTTTAAACTACTTCGTCACACTCTTGAGGACTGATACAAGAGTAATCACGAAGTAAAACCTTTTCAAAACAAGCACACACATGCAATTTCAAAATGAGCAAGTACCTAAGAGCCCGTGGAAAACCAAAGATAGAAAGGGTGCTAACACCTTCCCTTTCTATAATCTACCCCCCGTACTCAGAAACATTCTAGAAAAAGATTTTTTATGTTCTTTTTCCTTTTCCTTAGTTGGATGAAATAAAAGTCGGTGGCGGCTCTTACTTACCGCAACATTTGCAAAGACAAAATGCAAAACCAGTATAACAGTCGGTTCTGCCACTGTATCACAGATAGCATAATTTATTTACGCTTCATGCACAACCTAGGAGATAGGTTGTAAATCATCAAGAGAACATGCCAAGAAATATGGTTAGTACTTAGATTACCAAATGGATTCATTCCATCAGTAGAAAGTCCAAGTCTAAGGTTTCTCGTCTCTTTTCCAAAACTTGGAAACAAAGAATCTATTTTTTTCCATTGCAAAGAATCAATTACATGGCGAATTTGTCCATCACAATTTCTTTCTTCTGCATGCGATCTAAGATTCTTTGCGTCGTTTACATTAGTGAATAGTCTCTTGAACCGTGAAATTAATGGTAAGTACCATACAACTTTTGCGGGAGGACCCTTTTTTATCACCTCATCTTCACTAGAATCACCATCTTTCTTTTTGTAGCGTGACACCTTGCACTTCGGACAATGATTATAGTTTACATACTCTTTTCGGTATAATATGTAGTCATTAGGGCATGCATGTATCTTTTCATACTCCAAACCCATCGGACATAATATTTTCTTCGCCTCGTAATAACGAATTGGCATTACGTTACCTTCTGGAAGCATGTATGTCAATAATTCAAGCAATTCGGTAAAACTTTTGTCAGTCCACCCGTTATTTGCGTTCAGATTAAACAATTTTACCAAGGCTGACAAACGTATAAAATTTGTGCATCCCGGGTACAAAGTTTTATGCTCTTCACTGCATAAAGTATCATATGCATGTGCCCTCTTAAACAAATCTTGTCCAATATCACGCATCATGTCTTCCAAACGATCATTCATATCGACACTAATATCATCTCTTTGGGACACGTTTGAATTTTCTATTACTTTACCGTGTCATATCCATTGTGTATAACTTTGACAGATCCCTACACAGATTCGATGATCCATGATTTCTTTCTTACTAAGTTTTGGTTCTTTATTTGCACAACGAACACATGGACAGAGAAAAAGCGCATGAAGACTTTTTTCAGCATTACTTTCAGAAAACCGTAGAACTTCCTTCACTCCATGTTCGTACTCAACATTTAATCGATTAGCTCTCATCCAACTACGATCCTTACCTATGTTCTGAAATTAATGAATATATAGTTAAATCATTAGAAATTTTTATTTCTAATATACTTTTTTAATAATTAATGTTTTTTAACATTCTTTACTTGTTAGATCACTCCATAATGACTTATTATATGAAACTCTTTCACAAATGATATAGAATTAGGATACGTCCTACTTAATTGTCCTTGAATGTTTCTAGTTTGGGTAGAAATATACATTTATAGGAAGTCCGACGAAAGAGTAGCACTACTACAAGAATCCATAAGGGATTCTTTTAAACATAAAAATTGTAACATAATGTGATGTCGCGGGATTGAAACTTGGTTGGTGGTTAGCATGCTAGATTAAATAAAACTAACCACCAAACCACCGTTAAAACATGTTCTAAAATAACTGAAATACATGTATAAATATTAAACAAACTGATCCAATCACAAATGAGGGTTAACAACAATATTTTAATTTGTTCTAATTTAAATCCATTCCTTTAGATAAAATGTAATATAAATCTGGATAACAGTAACAATAATGATAAATCAACCTGTCGGAAACGGAGGGAGACGACGTCGGAGGCGAAGGGAGACGGAGAGACACGGTTGTCGTATGACACGGAGGCCGGAAAAGGAGGACGGAGGGAGACGGTGGTCGTATGGTGGCCGAACATTGCAGCACCGACGTCGGAGGCGGGGGGAGACAGAGAGACATGATTGTCGTATGAGACGGAGGCCATAAAAGGAGGACGGAGGCAAACGAAGGAAGACGACGGTCGTATGGTGGCCGAACATTGCAGCAGACAATGTCGGAGGCGGAGGGAGACGAAGAGAGACGGTTTCGTATGAGACGGAAAAACGCAGCTGCTCGAGAGAGATGAGGCGCACGACGTTATGAAGATCTGATTAGTATATTAAGGTTTTGTAAACTAAAAGGGAGTTTTTACATCGGTTGGGCCAAGGGCTCGATATAACGGCCTGTCTTTTACATCGATTGGGCCTTAAACCGATGTAAGGGCCACTTTTTTTTAATAACAAAAACGCACCTTATTTACAAAATTGCCACTTTGTAAACTAAAAGGGGTTTTTTTACATCGGTTGGGCAAAGAGCCTGATGTAACGGCCAATCTTTTACATCGATTGAGCCTTAACCCGGTGTAAGGGACACTTTTTTTATAACAAAAACGCACCTTATTTACAAAACTGCCACAGTGTTTTTATTTTTTTATCATTGAACATTTTACATCGGGTGTAAGTAAAGACCCGATTTAAAATCCATTATAAAAATTTTTATTTTATTTACCAAACTGTCACCTTGTTATATTTTCCTTTAAATCACATGTTTTTCATATCAGGGGAAATAAAAGTCTGATGTAAAATTTTTTCACAAAATTTTTTTACATCATTTATTTTTATACGTGATGCAAAGATCTTTTCTCAAATGTCATATTTTTAGTAGTACAAGTCTGCTAAAAAAGTTGTTTTATCAAAAAATATTAAATAAGAAAAATAATATATATTTTTTTATAAAAGAAAAGTTATTTATTAAATACATTAAATATCTATATATAAATGAAAATAAATTAAATGTAATGCATATTAAATGAATTATTAAATCAATTTTTTCTCATAAATAGGTTAGAGGAGTAATATTTGGACAGGTTATGGGCGGTTTATAGGTTTTCCTCATTGTCTCTGGACAAACACGCTTAAACACAAACCCTATCAACCCTCTTTCACACCGCATCACCATTTTCCCTATCTCACGCACACACCGTTCAATTCATCGCTTGTGCGATCTCTCCATTCAGAATTAGTTTCATTTTTTACCTTAAAAGTGTGGATATGAAAAGGAAAGGGGACGCAATTCCTTTAGCCAGGGCTGAGAAAAAAGGGAAAGATGAGCTAGAAAATCAAGAACTTAGTCCTTCTTTTGCAAATCTTCCATTACCAATCATCACCGACATTTTGCTTCGACTTCCAATCAATTCTGTTATGGTTTGTAAACGTGTTTGTAGAACTTGGAACACAGTGATTTTAGATCCACATTTTGCTAAATTGCTCTCTCAGGAATCACCATATGGTTTTATGATTCTGACACTTTTCCAAAAGGCTCCTTAAGGTATCACCATATGGTTATCTGATTATGACATGTGGCAGAAACTCTTAGGGCTACAAATTCATTAATGGTTTTCTTGAAATGACATTATATTATTATTTATCTAGGTTTAGATAAATAGGATGATTATTGGTTAGCCTTTTCATTTTAATTCTAGATTTCCTATACATGTTTTCTTGCATCTTTCATATTTGTGTCGACTCTCTTATTCTTAATCTTCTCCTAGAAAAGGGCTTTGAATCTCTAAATGTGTTATATTATTGAGTTTGGAATCTAATAAAATTTAAACAAAAACGTTAGAGTCTACTAGCATTTGTATATCCATTGAACACTATTTTCAAATAAGATGCACAGTTGAAATTGTTGGCTGAAATGAATTTGTGTCCATAATAAGGTTTAGAGACAAGTACAATATGACATACTAAATCATAGATGTAAAAGGTAGATTGCAAAACATTGGAAGGTGTTATGCAGTGTTAATAATTTCCTATGAAATTGAAGAACAAAAGTATAATATTAAAATGTGTTTTGATATAGACTGCATCAATTGTTTTCATATACAGTGTATGGTTAGCTATCAAATATGAATCATACTATTCGCTGGATAATTCCCAAAGTAAGGTACTTCATTTTATTTGGCCACTTTTATCAGATATTTATTTAGAGAATTTTTTTGACATGGTTTTCAAAGAATCATTGGCCAAGGAGCATGGACAAAACTACTTTACATGAACAAACATCTTTAGGATCTAAATTAGAAATCTAGTAGCATAAAATTATTTTCGGTGATGTTGTTGAAGTGGTAAAGCAATATTTTTATTTTTATCATATCGTCTCGATAAGGATTGGTGTATGGGAAAGAATGTCATTTAACAATTTCCGCAGTTATGAGATTGGATTAAAATAGATTGGTTTATATAGAAAGGAAAAACTATTAACAAGAAAATAAATACATTCTTCAGAGAAGAGAAACCTATCAGGCATGAATATAAACTACTCTTCACAAACTTAAATCTATCGATCAGTTGCATTAAACCTACAATACTCGTCAAAATCATAAAGTATCTCCCGAGATGTACAACAATAGAGATTATGTCTAACGCAAAGTTGAAGACAACCGTATTACTCGCGTCTACGATCTCTCAACGCAACATAAATCACACACTACGCCAAAAACTGCTTTTTGCAGCGCCTCTACTAAAGCGCTTATTGAAAAAGCGCTGCCATAGCCTTCACAAAAAACAAAATTAAAAAAAAGGGAAACCTACGAAGGTGCTTTTTTAAAAGCGCTGGCATAGGTGGGGGATACGAAAGCGCTTTTTACATTAAAAGCGCTGTGGTAGGTCAAATAAAAATACTAATAAAAACGAAATAATAGGGTTACGAAAGCGCTTTTTAAAAAGCGCTGTGGAAGATTGGCCTTTGAAAGCGCTTTCAAAAGCGCTGGCATAGCTGGACCTATGAAAGCGCTTTTACCCTAAAAAGCGTTGGTAAAAGCCCCCCTATGAAAGCGCTTTCAAAAGCGCTGTTATAGCTTATATTATTTTTAATTTAATAAATTAAAACATCAAAATAACATTATTCATTCTTTTCTTTTCTTCAAACGCACAGTACAATAGCTCTTCTTCTCTTCCACAAACACGATTTCGTAGAAAACCCTAACCCCAACCTTCTTCCTCCGTCTTCGTCCGTCCTCCGGCCGTCGTCGCAAGTCTTCGTCTTCCTCCGTGAAACTGTCTCTGTCTTCGTCCGTCCTCACTGTCGTCGCAAGTCTTCGTCTTCCTCCGTGAAACTGTCTTCGTCTTCGTCTACTTCCTCAAAGAATACAGAGTAAGTTCATTTACTCAGATTTTTTGTTAATGCAACTATTAGAACTAGGTACTGGAAGTAGCTATTGTTTTTTTTTTTGTTCTATTAAAATGTATATTGTCTGGTGTTGGAAGGGAGAACACTGTTGAACATTGTGTTCATTCTCATCATTGATAAACTTCATCTAGGTTCAGTTTTATCATATTTCAAATTATGGTTCATTGGTTATTTGTTTTTGTTTTTGTTTTCTTCAAGAACACAAGTTCAATAGCATAAGCACAATGCCTTTAATTGATCGTAGCTGATGGAATTTAGAACAATGCTTGTTTTTTCTGTTAGTCTAGAGAACCTAACAAATATCAATTTACATAGGATTTAATTTATCAATGCCTTTGACAACAAAGCAAACAGGATAATCAAGAGATGCAAGTATACTGTATACAATTTCATAAACAAAGAGTCTGAAGTTTGCAATCACTAACCTTGCTTTCTCTAATTTTTCAACCACATCACGCATAGCATGGATGATAATTTTCTTCACCTGATACCAAAGAAGCAGCCATCAGGAAAAAAAAACAGTACACAAAATCCCAATAAGAAATTGTTAACAATATGATATGAAATAGGAGAATAGAATTGAAATAGGTTGATGATCAAGATTTTAAACATTCAACAAGGATTGAAACAATCAATTTAGAAGTTAGAACCTTACTAGTATTACTGATTTGTAAGCATACTCACTTGCCCTCGAATGTGTGAGAATATATATACGAAAAGAATCTTACATTACTCTACTATTAATGTTAGAATATCTTAGTTTATCTCATAGGATCAGTTTCTTACATTGGGGTATTTGTTTTCTACAGTTTGGCTAGAACCTTCAGTTTTAATTCATAGGATCAAGTTCATTGTATTTGTTTTCAACAGTTTTACTATTTGTTTTTTACAATTTGGCTACAACAAAATTCTATTTAAGATCAGGATCATTGGGGTGAGTAAGATTGCAAAATAATAAGATTTTAAGATATAGATTGAGATCTTGACAACCTTGATTAAAACACTTTTCTGTATAGAACGGTCCCTCAAGACAGTTAACTAAATCGATTCAATATAACTAGCTTATCTCCCTCAATGCTCAGTCTAGCTCAATAAATATTAACCTTTTTATATTGATATCTTTATTTTCTTTTGTGGTAGATTTCTTACTGGAAACCTTCTCACTGGACCAATACCGCCTACTTGGAGGAAGAATACCTACGTGTGAGTTATCTTAGAATTTTTTGTTATAAGTGAATGTTGGTCTAAGGTTATTTCACGCACTTTTGTATCATCGACATGACTATAGTGTAGACTAATGTAGTTTTACGTACGACGCTCATTCTCCGCGTTTCTTAGAGTTCGAAACATCTGAGAGGTAACTTTCTCCGATTGAAGAAATTCGAACTGTCCTTGATCGTAGTGTACGCGGGACGCTCTCAACATTTTCAAAGGTTTTTATCCTATTCTTGAACTGACTTGAATAACTGATTGTTTTTACTTTTATTTTCCGGCTCAGTGTGAATTTCTAATGATTATAGTTGAGTGGAATTCATGAGCTGCGGTTGTGTTTTTGTTTATATTTAGACTGTTATGGCAGTATAGGGCTGTATATGGCAGTATGGCAGTATTGATAGCATTGAAACGAGCACGTTTCAGGGATTCATCAAACATCAATGAAAATCTTAAACACAATGAACCATGCAACACATTAGTTAGCGTGTAGATGTTAGAATTTAGGACTATAGGACTATACCAAAAATATCTGACGGGATTTTTCCGTTGCTAAATCTTCCGGTTGCTTCTCCTCCGATGAAATCTTTACCGTAAGGTTTGAAATCCGACTTCACTATTGTTTGAATATAATTGTTATTACCTGTATCCAAGACTGAATCACTAGTATCCGACTTCACTAGTTAGTAATTAGTTATGAGTTGTTTAGCACATGCTTAAGGTGAGGCAAGAATAACTATGAATTTGATTACCTGATATGTTGAATTTCTTTACAGGTAATTAATTATTATTTTTCTATAGTTGCTTGACTAATTAGTTGCTATAGTCAAACCATGGATAAAAAATGGATGACTGCCAATCGATTGTCGAAAGAGTATGAGGATGGGGTATCAGAATTCGTTAAGTTTGCCGTTGCGCACGCCAGAGAACCCAATGGAATGATATGTCCTTGCTTGAGATGCTGTTATGGGAGACGGGTTGACGCGGTTCAGTTGGAATCGCATTTACTGATGCATGGAATTGATAGAAGTTATGCATGTTGGAATTTGCATGGTGAGAAAAGTAGCGGGAATGTTGAATCGAGTTATAATACGACGTATGCTTCAAATGAGGATTTCGCAGACGCATACGATTATGATCGAGTCGAAGAGATTGCAGAAGCGCTTGAAGAAGATCTTGAGGATTGTCCCAAAATGTTCGAGAGGTTGGTAAGCGATGCAGAGAAACCGTTGTATGATGGTTGTACAATATTCACAAGATTGTCTGCGGTGTTAAAGTTGTACAACTTAAAGGCGGACAACGGATGGTCGGATAAAAGTTTCACACAGTTATTAGCCCTCGTGAAAGAAATGCTACCAGAGGATAATGTTCTTCCCAATCGAACGTATGAGGCCAAAAAGATGTTGTCCTCTATTGGCATGAGCTATGAAAAGATACATGCATGTCCAAAAGATTGCTTTTTATTTCGAAACGAGTACGTAGTGTTAAATGAGTGTCCTAAATGCGGTGCCCCTCGATATAAGGAAAAGTTGTCTCCGGAAAAGGTGTTATGGTATTTTCCTATAATTCCGAGATTTAGGCGCATGTATCGTAGTGAGACCGATTCAAGACACTTGACTTGGCATGCAGATGAAAGAATTATTGATGGGAAGTTGCGACATCCGGCAGACTCACCACAGTGGACGAAAGTTGATATTGATTATCCTGAATTTGGAAAAGAAGCAAGAAATCTTCGCTTGTCGTTGTCTACTGATGGAATGAACCCGCATGGTATTCAAAGTATCTCGCATAGCACCTGGCCTGTGATTCTTATGATATATAACCTACCTCCGTGGCTATGTATGAAGCGTAAGTACATGATGCTATCTATGTTAATTTCTGGGCCCAAACAACCAGGGAATGACATAGACGTGTACTTGGCACC